GCTCCGGGGTGGCCGGTGCCAGGACCAGGGCCAGTGGGTGCAGGTTGGACCCCGGGCAGCTCCATGTGCCCGTGGGGAAGAACAAGGTGACTGTGAGGAGGGTGCCCAGCCCTGGCCAGGCTGCAGATCCTGCTCTGCAGATCTGCCACCGCGCCGGGATGGAGCGGGTGTCCCGTGCCCTGGGTGTCCCTGTGGAGCAGGGGCTGCGCTGGGGGATCCCTGGGGGTCCCTGCTAACATCACCCATTCTGGGATTCTGGGATTCTGCTGGAGGGGGCAGCCGGCGCATGCCCCGTACGCCCCCGTGCTGAGCCACGGTGACAGTGACATTCACTGGTCGCCAGGCCGGCACCGCTGGCTGTAGCGGAGCTCCGAGCAGCTCCAACCCGCATGGAGACGGGCCCGGCGCCGCGCGGCCCTGGGTGTCCCCAACGCCCCTGCCCCACGGCGGGAGCCGGACACCCGTGTGTCCCCACGGGGCCCGGCCCTGCCCTGGGGCAGCGCCGCGGGGCCCGGCCCTCAGTGCGCTCTGCCGCCAGGCCGCCTGGTGCGTGCTGCCCGCCCGCGTGCTGCTCGTGCTCACCTCGCACAAGGGCATCCAGGTACGGCCGCGGGCGCTGCGGGCGGCACCACTCCGCGGGGAGCCCAGTGCCCACCGGCAGCTCCGCCGCCCCGCGGGGCCGCGCCGGGGGGCAGCTCCCTCCGCGGCCCCCAGCGCCGTGCCTCCCCTCCCCAGATGTACGAGTCAGACGGCTCCATCATGGTTTACTGGCACGCGCTGGATGCCACCGAGCACCCAACAGGTAAAGCCCACGGCGGAGCGGAGCGCGGAGCGCCCTGTCCCGCTGCCCGGCAATGCCGCGGCGCCCACGGGTTCCTGCCGTGCAGCTCGGCTCCCGCAGCCCCGCGGTGCCCGCGGGTTCCTGCCGTGCAGCTCGGCTCCCGCAGCCCCGCGGTGCCCGCGGGTTCCTGCCGTGCAGCTCGGCTCCCGCAGCCCCGCGGTGCCCGCACGTTCCTGCCATGCAGCTCGGCTCCCGCAGCCCCGCGGCGCCCGCACGTTCCTGCCGTGCAGCTCGGCTCCCGCAGCCCCGCGGCGCCCGCACGTTCCTGCCATGCAGCTCGGCTCCCGCAGCCCCGCGGCGCCCGCACGTTCCTGCCGTGCAGCTCGGCTCCCGCAGCCCCGCGGTGCCCGCGGGTTCCTGCCGTGCAGCTCGGTGCCCGCAGCCCCGCGGTGCCCGCGGGTTCCTGCCGTGCAGCTCGGTGCCCGCAGCCCCGCGGTGCCCGCGGGTTCCTGCCGTGCAGCTCGGCTCCCTGCACCAACAGCGCTGCCCTGCAGTCGGGGAGCACTGAGCCGCAGCAGTCCTGCACAGGAGGCTGCTGCCAGGGCCCCGGGTGGCTCAGGTGGCTCTGAGCCCTCTGTGCAGCCCCAAGGGGCTGGTGGGCACACGTAGAGCCCAGGACACCCGGTAGGGCGGCTGTGGGACCAGCAGGACCGAGGAGGCTCAAGGAAGCGCGCGGTCTCGCACGGTCCCCTGAGCAGCCCGCGGTGCAGCCCATGCTCCGTCTCCTTGCAGCACAGGCCGTGTTTGCCCGGGGCATCGCAGCCGCCAGCGGACGCTTCATCTGCGTGGGTGAGCGGGACACAGCGGGACACAGGGCGCACAGGGCACAATGGAGCACAGCGGGGTGCAGAGCCAGTGCCCTCCTGGCGCGGCCCGCTGACGCCCCGGCCCCTCCACAGGGCTCTCCTCCGGGCTCGTGCTGGTCTTCGACATCCCGCCCAAGGGCACCAACGTCACCGTGAGCGAGGTCCTGGCGGAGCACAGCGCCGCCGTCACCGACATTGCAGCCGAGCTGGGCCACGCTCCGGTAGTGCTCCCTGCGCCGAGCGTGGTGCTGGGGTCCCCATGCGGGGACGGCGGGTGCTGGGGTCCTGGTATGGGGACGGCGGGTGCTGGGGTCCCCATATAGGGATGGCAGGTGCTGAGGTCCCCGTGCAGGGATGGCGGGTGCTGGAGTCCCTGTGCAGCCATGGCGGGTGCTGGGGTCCCCATGTGGCCACGGTGGGTACTGGGGTCCCCGTGCGGCCACAGCGGGTGCTGGGGTCCCCATGCAGGGCTCAGTGGCTCCCGCTGTCCCGCCTGCTCCCCGCAGGGCAGGGCAGCCCCAGCCGCCCCTTCCTCGGCAAGGCGTTCGGGGTGCACGAGGGGCTCTCCCTGGGAGCAGCCGCCCGGCCCTGCCCAGCCGGCCCCATCTGCTCTGGTTTGACCCGTTCTTGGGGTTGGGGCTCCGTGTTCCTCAGCCGAGTGACGTGTGAGCTCGGCTCGCCCCGCTGTGCGGCAGCCAGCAGGGGTGGTCAAGGAGCCGGGCTCCTTCTACACGGAGTAGCTTGGGGTGATGAGAGTGAGTAAGTATGAGACCAAAGAGAAAGCCCTGTGATACATAGGGGTGTGTGCTGGGAACACACAAGGGCTGTTTACAGTAAAGAATAGGCTGGGTTCAAAAGCAGATGAGTAAAACTGGCCGGGAATCAAGGCAGGCTAAAACTGAAGCTCCCCTTAGAGCTGCGGGTTCCCAGGGCTGTCCCCCTGGGCGCAGCAGGAACCCGCGCGGCTGGAAAACGTGCGGAGCTGCTGGGGGGGTGCTGAGCATGCGGGGCAGTGTTGGAGGGGACACGGAGGGGCAGGACGTGTCTTGTGGGGAGCAGTGACGTACAGGACGTGTTGTGTGGGGAGCACGCGGCCCGGGGCCGCCCGCACGGCTCTGTGATGCCCCGGTGCACCGGGGTGCCAGGGCGAGGCGGGCACAGCCGGTGTCCCTGCGCCCGCCGCAGGAGCGTTGCTGCCCGCTGTCGCCTGCGCCCGGCAGTCCCTTCATCCCGCTGCAGGGCGACGTCCCTGCGGACACGCTAATTGGCTCCTCGTTACCGCGGCCTCCTTCCCAGCGAGGACACGCTCCGTGTTCTCGCTCTAATTGGCCACGTTTAACTTTCTTCGCTCGGGGGACTCCCTGGAGCAATTGACTGCTTGGAACCGGTTCCCAATTAGTGCGGACGCTCCGCTGGTTTGTGCGAGGGCTGCCTCGCGGGCGGCTCGGGCGCCGTGTCCCCTGACGTGCCCGTGCTGGGCTCTGCAGCGGGGCCGGTGCCGCCAGCGGGGCCGGGGCAGCCCGGGCGCTCCTGAGGCTGCCGGCACGGGCAGGACGGGCACGGGAGCGCTCGCAGATCCGCCCAGGAGGAACCGGGTGCTGCCGAACGTTAACACGCCGAGACAGAGCGGCCGTGCAGGACGTGTCGGCGGCTCCGTGCGCGGCTCAGCGTTGAGTTCGCCGCCCGCGGGCACCGCACCGCTGTTGTGCTGCAGCGGGGCTGCACGCCCCATGCCTGCAACGGTGCTCCTGTGTCCCCACAGGACGGGGCCGGCGACCTGGTCAGCGCCGACGACTCCGGCGCCCTGTGCGTGTGGAGCTCCGGGGAGGAGTTTGCCCTGCGCCACAGAATCCCTGCGCTGGGGTAAGTGGGAAGGCAGCGCGGCGGCCCCGGCGGCGCCGGGATCCCGCGCCGGCGCCCGGGGGTGTCCGTGCGCCCAGCTGAGCCCAGGCGTGTGCCCCGTGTGCCCAGCTGCTCCTGCTCCTCCGTGAAGCTCTGGAACGGCATCCTGGCCGCCGGCTACGGCAACGGGCAGATCCGGCTGTACGAGGCGGCGAGCGGCGCCCTGCGCGCCCGCGTCGACGCCCACGCGCGCTGGATCTACGCGCTGGACGTGGCGCCCGCCACGGGCAAGGTAGCGGCCCCACGGCGCGGTGCGGGCGATGCCGCCGCGGCCTGCAGCGGTGCCGAGCCTGGCCGTGCAGGCCGGCCCCGGCTGCCCCTGCAGCGCGCCCGTCCTCGCCGCCCCTGCAGCTGCTCTCGGGCGCGGAGGACTCCTTCGTGCACGTGTGGCAGCTCGGCAGGAGCCCGGACACGGGCGACATCGAGGTGGGTCCCGGCGCGCCCGGCGCCGCGCGGGGCGGCCGGCCCTGCGCCTGCTGCAGCGGCGCCGCTCGCCCGCAGATCGAGCACTGCCACGCGGAGTGCGTCCCCGACACGCAGGTGTGCGGCGCCCGCTTCTGCGACGCGCGCGGCGCCTCCTTCGCCGTCACCGGCTACGACCTGGCCGAGATCGTCCGCTACAGCCGCGCGTAGGCTGCGGGCACGGGGCGCAGCGCCGGGCACGGGGTGCGGGGGGCAGCTCCCGGCCTGCTGCACGGCCCCCCGTGCGCCCCTGCCCGCTGCTCTGCATGCGGAGCTACGGGACGGGCACCCCCTGCTCCGGCACCTCCGCCCCGGCCCCGTGTTCCCTGCTCCCCCCGGGGCGGTTCCCTGCAGAGCGGGAGAGGAGCCTTCCCCACAGGGGAGCTGCAGGGACACCCGGAGCCCAATGGGACACAGAGAGCCGCGCGGGACACACACAGTCTGGCGTGGACACACCGGTCCCCGTGGGGACATGCAGAGCCCCAAGGGGACACACGGAGCCCCGTGGAACACCCAGACCCGTGTGGGGACACGCTGGTCCCTGTGGGGACAGGCAGAGCCAGGGCCACGCTCCAGTTGTGTCCCTGCTCGGAAAGGCGCTCGCTTCCAGGCCAGCACAGAGCCCCAGGGACAGAGCCTTCTAGGTCAGCGGGAGCGGCGCTGCGGTGCCGCGGGCTGTCCCCGCTGTCCCCCCCTCGCCCGTGCCCTGCTCCCCGTCCCCAGGCAGTGCTCGGCGCTCCTTCCCATCCGGCCCGCCCGTTCCCAGCGCTGCTCTTCCCGAGGAAGTGTCCTGCTCCCTTCCCGGGAACGGCCCTGTCACCGTGCTGAGCCCAGCGCCGCCGGCCCCGCTGCTCCGCACGAGGGGAGCTGCCCGCGGCGCCCGCACGGAGCCGGGTCCCGCTCGGCCCATAGATCCCACACGGAGCTGGGTCCCGCTCGGCCCATCGATCCCGCACGGAGCCGGGTCCCGCTCGGCCCATAGATCCCGCACGGAGCCGGGTCCCGCTCAGCCCCCGGCAGCTGCCCATAGCCCCTCCGTGCTGCTGTGGCCCCTGTCCCCACTCAGGACCCCTGTCCCCCGTGTGTTGCCCCCCAGCTATAGGTCAGTGCCCCCCAGCTATAGGTCAGTGCCC